TGCAGCGGACGTGCCTGACGCTCAGGCCTGACTGCTGTCTCGGCGTCGGGAGGGCGCCCAGCTGACCTCCCTTGTACGGCGTCTGATGGCTTCTTGTTTTTCTGTGAATTTGGTTTCCTCTGCTGACGCCCCCTCAGGGGGGCTGGGGCGGCCTTACCCCAGCAGGGTGGCGTGGAGGTGTTCTCTCTCTCACTGGGCTTTATTATAAAGGCCGTCGGCGTGTCGCCCCAGGGCCCCCTCACGCCAACCGCTCCACGTCAGGCGGTGTCAGCGGGGTGAGTGCGTAGAAGGAAGAGCTGAGACGGCACCTGCCCTCCTGGGCAGCGCCCACTGCCGGGGCGCACTCCGGCCGGGCGTCCTCTGCAGGGGCCCCCGCTGTGAGCACTTGCCACCAGCTGGGATGTCTGTTCTGGGGAGTCCCACTCAATTCCTTCTGGAAGGTCCCGGTCACCACCTACAGCCGTGTGGGGCCTGGCCCGTGGCTCTTCTCGGTTACCGCTTGGAGCCAGCCGGGCCCTGAGACCTGCCAGTGGCCGTGATTTGTGGTGTGGGCTTACAGCTCCTGGCCGCTGGCTGCGTCCTCTGCGGCCCGGCTTCCCTCAGGGCCGGGTGAGGGAGGGGGGCCCTGGTGCCCAGAGAGGCTCTCCCCGCGCCCCTGGACTTTGAGAGTGAACACGCGGCTTCCTGGCTCCCTCCTGGGAGCCGAGGGTCAGAGCTAGCCCAGCTGCCTCTGTGGCCGGCCCGTGGGCCGTGGGGTGTGGGAACGCAGCTTGAGTTCACGGGATGACGTCCCAGAGTGACGTCGCGGGGTGGGGGTTTGCAGCTGGTTTTTCCTTCTCACTCTCCGGGCGCTCAGCCGCACAATGGCTCCCTTGCCGCCACGGCGCCCCCCAGCTGGATCCCGGGCCTGCTGGGCTCCGGGGGGAGGGGAGCTGCCGGCCGGCTCTGGCTGCTGGCAGGACGTGGGGCCCCGTGCCCAGGCAGGCGGGTGCGGTAGCTCTGGGCGGGTTCCAAGACTCCCACTGCCCTTGGATGTGAAGACAAGACGGCTGCCATCTTGGGCCTTTCCACATTCTTCAAGCTTAAAACAGCTGGATAGATGCAACATTACTGGGTTTCCATGTATCCTCTTGACAGAGGCCGCACGTGACGTTTTCTCAGGGACACTGAGCACAGGCTCTCGGCCTGGGGCCGCCACGCAGGGATTCGCCTGCTGGTATCTCGGTGCCAAGGGGCACGCCACGGGGGGCTTGAGGGCGCAGACTCTGCTGAGCGAGGGGTTATTGTTTCAGAGCCAATTAATGTGGTTTGTTTATTATAGTGGAATGGGATCCCGGCAGGGCAGGGCCGAGGTGCAGGCCTCTCAGGTCACACCCTGCCAATCCGCGGTGTCTGGCCTGCAGAGGTCCCTTCTGTCTTCCCATGGGACGGCCAGGCCAGAATTCCAGGCCTTTCTAGGGGCGAGTTAATGATTTCTAGGGGCCCCATGGGGAGGGTGGGGGCACCCGGCCAGGATCCCACGGCCCCGGCACTGGCCGCGGGTAGTGGGCGGCCCCAAGCGGCCCCATGCCAGAGTCCTCCCTGCCAGCCCGCCGGTGCTCCCCACGGCCCCCCTGCTGCCACCCCAGCCCGCCAGTGCCCCCCACGGCCCCCCTGCTGCCACCCCACTTCTGTTGGGGGGCTCTTTCACCCTGAAGGGTGAGGGCAGAGGCGAGGCAGACTGTGGTGCCTGGGCACGGGCTGCTGGGCGACCCAGGCTGAGCACCCCACCGGTGAAGTGCGTTCCGCCTGGCACGCGGACCTGTGGCCACCTGCACAGACAGGGTTGTGGGGGCGGGGTGGCAGGAACTCTTTGGGTTTCTTTGCTGACTTCCGGGTTCCTTGTCTACCTGAGGCTGTTCCTGCCTGCTGCCCTTGAACTTGAGATTGTTGGACCTGCTCTGGAGCTCAGGAAAGCCCCGGCACCGGCTCGCTTGCCGTGACTGACCCCATACCAGTCTTGTGGGCTGCACCCAGGGCCACTGGGTGGGGCGGGCGCTGCTTGGGGCCTGAAGCAGGACCTTGCACAGAGCTTCCCCGGGGCCCTGGCCAGACCCTGGCGGGTGGAGTTGGGTGGGGCTCAAGTGCACCTCCTGTGGGCCCCAAGGGTTCCCGAAGGCTGGGGTGGGGCGGCTGCAGGAGGCTGGGCTGTGCCGTTGCGTCTGTGCCCTGGTAGCCGGCTCCCTTGTAAATTTGATGGCAGTGGGCAGCATCCCCGCCACAAGAACGTTTACTTGAGAGGAGGGCCCGGATGGATGGGTCTTCACCCTTGCTCCTTCCCTGACCACTCACACAGCGCTCCCCGCAGTAGGGGCCTGGGGACCCTGTTTCCGTCTGCAGTGACCAGCTGCACGTACTGGACCGTCGTGGCTCTCGAGGTGTGGAGAGATGGCTCGGTTCCGGGGAGGCCCCGCTGGCTGCAGGCTGGCTCTGGGGGCCGCTCCGCTCCTAGATGGCTGTTCTGAGTACTGGCCGTATGCAGCCCCGGGCCAACTTCCCGGCTTTGCCTCCTTCGGAGAGGCAGGGGGACGCGGAAGGTGCACCTGTGGTGCAGGTGCTGGCAGCCTCCGTCCGGCAGGATGAGGCCTGGGGTGGTCTCCACCTTGCAGCTTGGGACCCCACCGGCTCCAGGCCCTCTCTGAGGCACAGCCTTGTCGCCTTCTCTCCAGTTTCCTGTTTGCAGACAGCCTCAGTGTGAGCAGGTTCCAGAAAGATCATGGCCCCTGCTGCTCCTTGGCCCTTGTTCGCCACTTTGCCCTGATGAGGCCAGGCTGAGCGGGCTTCCCTCTGCCCCGCCCCCGAGAGGGGGTGGGGGTATGTGCTGGGCCTGGTAGGGAGGCAGAACAGATAGGCGTGTCAAAGGCCGGGTGCAGGCGGGGCGGGCAGGCCCCAGCGGTAACAGGAGCTGGCGCGGGAGCCTTAGCGCCAGAAGCAGCACTAGGAATAATTCATAAGTGCAGGCGGTGCGCACTGTCACCCGAGGGAGGCCGCGAGCCCGGCCCCCAGCTGCCTCGGGCTACCTGTGTGCACCCCACGGCCAGGGCGGGGAGCCTGAGCAGCGCCAGTGTCCTGGGGGGGGAGCCTGGGGAGCCCAGGCCCTGCCATTCCCTCAGGCCCTCAGGCTGCGCATCACACGTTGAGACGTCACCACGTCCCAGGCGCCCCTGCCCTGACGGGGTCAGGGCTCCTGAGCCTCTGGGCGGGGCCGCCAGCGTCCACTGACTCCCCGGCACACAGGCCCCTGCGCCAGGCGCTGGGTGCTCGGGCCACGCACTGATCTGGGGGTGTGCCTGCGCCCCACTGCCAGCGGGGCTGGGGCCCACGTGCCCAGCAGTGTCTAATCAGATTCACCCGCCTTGAGGGACCGGTGGGAACCCCCTGCCGACTGGCTCTCGCTGGCCGAGGCCCTCGGCACAGCCCACTTAGGTGTCGTGGGTGGCCAGCGGGCAGCGACGTTAGTCAGCCAGCTGGTTTCTGCGCCTCGTCTTCTGGAAGTTCTTAGAGAAATCCTGCCAAGGAAACGGCCGGTCCTCAGGGCTCGCCCCGTCCTGCCGACCACCTCCCCGCACACAGCTGCCCCCAGCCCCCACACACAGCTGCCCCCCAGCCCCTGTCCTTTGAAGCTTTGAAGCACCAATCTTGACCTTCAAGTGACAGCGGCCCTGGGCGTTCATTCTGACCGTCTCCCCAGGGGCTCCTGTTCTTGAGCCCCCAGATAAGCGGTCCCGGGACCGTCCAAAGGCCTCCCGAAGTTCTGTAAACTGCCCTGGGAGCCCGACTTTCTGCTCCTGGTTTAATTCACAACACTGTGGGTGTCTCTGCCAACAGTCTGCACCCAGCAGTGGGAGTCGGCCGGCGACACCGTGTTGGATCTGTCTGCAGCCCTTTGTTTAAAAACCAGAAGTGACGCTACAGCACGACTGTTTCACTTCCCGAATTCATTTTCCCCACCTTCCTGCTTTCCAAAGGGACAGCTTCTCCTACAGAGATCATGTATCACCTGACGCCTTGGGTTCTGCTCACCTGTGGGTCCTAAGCACCGGCGTGAAAGCCTTTGGAAGTAGCGGGGGTGGAGTCGGGCAGATCGTTCATGTCAGGCGCGGAGACCTGGGAATAAAACCCGCGCGGGTGTCTGCAGCTAGGGCGGGCAGACCAGCCGTCAGAGCGGGCAGGTGTCCTGGCAGGTCGGAGGCGGGTTTTGAAGGGTGCGTAGGAGTTTGCTCCCATCTCGGCAGCATTTCTCCCACGAATTCCGGGCGTAGGCGCCAGACAAGGCCTCACGGCCCCGGGAGGACGGTCCCTGGCCGAGTAGGTGCTCCGTGAACGTGAAACGGAGCTGTGTTGTGGGGGACAAGAGCCAGCTGCGCCCCTCCTGCCGCTGCCTCGGCTGGGAGAGCTTGGGGGTGTGGCTGCACTGACCGGTGCAGCTGCGCCTTGCCTTGTGTGATGGCATCCTCCGGCGCGCCCTCCTGCCGTGGACTTGGCCAGCACCCCAAAGTCCAGCCCCCAGATGCAGCTGCCGGGGCGGGGAGCACCTGAATGTCCCAGCTGGAGAGGGATGGGGGAGCAGCGGTCGCCTCTCCCCTCGCTCAGGACTGCTCGGGTTGGGTCCTCTCGTCCCCGTGGAGGGAGAAACCTGCTTCCGCAGTCCTGGCTGGTCTGACAGGGCCGCCGGGAGCCGGAGGCCGTCATTCAGGGCTGCCCGGATGCGAGCCACCCTCTGGATGGAGTCCGGGTCGGTGGGAGGGTGGGGTCAGCGGTGGTCAGGTGGCCGCAGGTCCGCTCCCCAGGCCTCTCCTTTCTCGTGGAACTGGAGGAGGACGACGGCCTGGGACTCCCTCGGCGGCGTGGCCACCACGCCACTGTGGCGGTGCCGTGGGCTCGCGGGAAGAGCCGCAGCCAGGACACCTGGACAGACGTGCTGCCCAGGTGTCTGCCTCCGGTCGGCTGCCGAGGGAAAACGGCTGTGTGCGCAGGAAGGGGGTGGCACCACGCGCTTCCTCTTCACCCCTTGCAGAGTCAAACAGATGTGAGTGCTCTTGAATGCAAAGCCTCATTTCATATTGCATTTGCCAAGAAAGTGCAGTTTTATTGAACATTAGGATTGAATTCTTAACTGAGTAATCAATTTCGGTAGTAAGTTAAAATGCCTTCTATTAATGGACAACTGCACCCGTTAATCAGAGTTTCAGTGGATTAACAGTTGTCAGCATTTATGCTAATGGCACTTATAAACCAGGAGCTTATGAATCGCACTTCATAATTCCATATTTCTCAAGCAGTTGGTCATCCTTTTTGCTCGAGGATATTGATTGTTTTGTCCCCTGGCTTGTGACTGGGAGAGGTAAAGAAAGCTAAATGACATTTTCACGGTGGTGACACAAAATCACCTTCTGTTTTTACACACTCGGCTTCGTGTCAGAGTAGATGGAAAGGGCTCATTTGTTGTGGTGCTCTGCTGTTTAATTTGATCTGGTGTGTGACTAAAGCAAGACAAATAGTATTTTTAATGAAACCGTTTAATAACCTCTGGTAGCTTGGAATCGAAGGCATTGGAGGAATGCAATTAAGGGGATGGCCAGATGCAAGCCGAGAGCAAGATCACTGCCCCAGCACCACTGACCCACTTCGTCTTGCTTCCAGGGTGTCGTCGCCTCCAGCGGCTCTGGACGGATGAGGCTGGACTCCCTCCAGGCGACGGACAGCCCCGCGCGGGGCCTGTAGTTGGCGGACAGACTTAAATTGCGGAATCGGCGTCGGGACACGGATCTCAGGTAAAAGTCCGTTTTCTTAAGCCCCCTTCGGGGGAGTTTTCAACGCGCTAGTGACCGTGGTTGTGGCAGTTCTGGATGTTTCCTCGGGATAGCTAACAGCAAGGATCGTATTGATTGTCTTTCAATTAATTGCATCTGGTATTTTCATTTATCAAAAGCAAAATACATGTAATTAACTCCGTAGCAGTACAGCTCGGTTAAGTGATGGTCGCTCGCTGCTGCCGCTGTTTAGAGATAAGTCAGCGGAACAGCCCTGCCTGGAGCCCCGTCGGGGTGGGGGAGCGTGGGGGCTTCTCAGCGAAGGTCAGGGAGCTGGCCTGCCTGTGCCCCCCC